TAAGGAAACACCCCAGCCTCATTTACATTAAAGATGGAACAGAGGGACATCTCATTAGCATACAGAATGGAGAGCAGCTCTTCCAAGGCAGGAACCGCACTGAACTATGGGACACCGAAAGCAGAGAAGCACTGCCTGATGGGAAATCCCTGCTCCAGATGCTAATGAACCTAAGCCTGCTCACACCCAAATTAGTCATTATCAGACCAATGCTAGTAACAAGCCTACTGACATCCAAAATACTGAAACTGCCTAGTTGCATTGTGAGCTCGTTCAAGGAACATCACCCATAACCAGGGGTGATCAGTCTCTATTGTCTCTCCTCTTTCTCTTTGAACTATCCCTATAAAACTCCTATCCTTGCCCCAAGAAAACTGTTCTGATACCTGGACTTAAACTGCATCAGTTCCATTGAGACTTCTTCATCTCCTGTCTGATCGTGCTGGGGGCTCTGTCCTGCTTTTCTCCTGCCCTCTGGACCCCCGGCTACCATCATCATCTGGGAACCCCGATCAGTGCAAGCTCCGTGAAGTGGTGAGGTCTCTCTCTCTCTCTTTCTCTCTCTCTCAACTATCTCTCTAAGCATAGCCTCCTGACCCTGCCCTGTGTAAACTGCTCTATGGTTACCTAACATTTGTAATCAGCTTCAATTTAGATTTAATATTGTAATTGTTAGATTTAATATTGTAACTGTATGATATCTATTCACTACTCAGAAATAAATCTCTTTCATTGTTAAGCTGGTTGCTTCTCTCTCTTTCTTTCTCTTTTGCTCACTCTTCCTTAAGGGGTGTTGTTTTGGCTTCCCCATTCGCTCTGCAACAACGCTTCTTGTACCCAAGCTAAAGATCCCTGTAGTGCCCAAAATCCTGTGGGGTTTGCTCATCGTGTGGTTTACCTGTGAATGACTGTGGCGTGAAAGTGGGGATAGGGGGTGCTGAACCTGGGGGCTTATGAGGATGGCAGCTTAAAGTGCTGTTTAATCCAGCCCACGGAGTCCAAAGGCACATGAGGGTGCAGTGTGGCATTGCTGTGAAACCCAGCCAGCTGAGTCCAGGGACATATGAGGGGGTCAGCTTGTGAGTGCTGAGTACCCAGTCCTCTCAGACGTGCTCTGATTAGTGGGTGTGAGTGTCTGTGTGTGTTGCTAAGGTGGGAAGAACCCCATCCTGAGGAACCTAGTTCCTGCAGGAGAGCTCCAGTGGGAGGGGGAATTGGCAGCAGGGAGAATTCAGCTCCATATGAGAGCCCAAGTAAGCACCAACAGCACACTGATAGAACTGTCAACCTTCCCCCAGTCCCATAAGGGTAACCCTGATAAATGAGCATACCCCAGGGTATTGGGCAAATCTGGTAACACCAGGAGCTACCCCTGCTGCAGCTCTGCATTTTAAATGTAGTAAGAGCCCAGCTTCTACTACACCATTCACCTTTTGCAGCCAAGGAGAACTGCAGAAAGCAATGTGGGCCAGGCCACCACTTCCCACAGCTCCCACGGACTGCAAACGGCGGACCAGAACCAATGGGAACCATGAAGCAGGTAAATAAACACACCCAGAGCAGCCAGTTAGCAAGTTTCTCAAGTTTTGCAGACCACTTTGAGAAACACTGCTTTAGAAGTAAATAAAATTGGCTGGGGAGACTTGAGGCAGGTTTAGTGTACAAACTACCCAATTTTTTTTTAAATAGACATAAAGGTAAACGTTTTCAAAAGTGCAAAAATGATTAAGGAATCTAAATTCAATTTTTCAAAGAGAGTTAAGAAACTATTTCTAACTTTACACTTACCATCTATTTTACAATCACAATTAGACAATTATTTCTAGTTACACCACAAGAAGTCACATTTACTTCCAAGGTGGCATGTTAATGGTTCTTTAATGTTTGAATTCCAGAGTAAAATTTTCAAAAGTGACCTAGGCACTTAGAAATAATTTTCTAATGCCAGATAGTGTGGGAGACCAGACAAGAACAAAAAAAATGTATGACTACAAAGCTTGAGGCAACACTAGTGAAAATACAGTAGACAACACTTTCAAAGTTATTATAGAGGAGAAAACAATTTTAAATAGCAAAGACGACAACCCAAGCTATCTCTACATTATTATCTCAGCTTCATTACTTTTTAATAACTGCCTCCATATTCTTTGTTTCCTTAAAAACACAAGTGGTTGATATAAGTGCTACCCACAGCTGGTTCTGAATAGCTCATCTGTTACTCTATTATAAAAAGGATTGTGTATTGAAAATATCACCAAGAACATCATCAGAGTCCAGAATCAATTTTTACTACCACAACTCAGACCAACTGCTTCATTCCTTCACAAGGATAGTTTTTCCAAAATAAAATTGGAATGTGAAGGTGGCTGCTTTTCTACCATAAAAGTATTTACTCCAGGTAACTTGACTTCCTTACATCAAAGGAGCAAAGTGACAGGAATCAACTGAGCAGCCGAAGTGGCTAGAAAACAAGTAAGAGCTGAATCAAACATCTTTCTGAAGATCTGAAAATTACTGTGCTCTTTTATCCTCATTCTACTCCTCTCCCCTCCTCCCCACCCAATCACCCTTTGGACATATTTCAGTCTTTCATATGCCTCGATGCTTTCTGGTGTTAACAGTAAACACTGGTGCAGTGTTTTTGCCCTGGCTAGCATAAGCCTAAGTAGCACTGAAATTCTCAGATTCTCGTGGGAAAAAGTTCTCTCACAAAACAGACAATATAATTTTTCTACCACGTTTGTTCTGAAGTTTCCCATTTCCCAGGAGAAGAAATAGGGATATCAGCCTCTAGGTGGGTGGCCGGCAGCATCACTTTTGTAACAGCTTTACTATTAGGTGTGTTGAAGAGATGCCAAGGCAGCTTCAACAGTTGGAAAAATAAATACGCCAAGAGAGAACTCAGGCAGTTGCGCTGCTGCACAACAGCAATAGCTGTTCAAGGGGCCAGAAGGTACAGCATATTTCCAGTCTATACCCAAGGGCAGCGGGTGAACCTATGACTGGGGGAGGCAAGCCCCCAGCCCTGCCCCTTCTGCACAAGGCCCTGCCCTGGCTGCCTAGGGCCCTATTGAAGACAAGACACTGTAGGGGCAGGCCACCCCTCCCCCAGTAGGCGGCATGCAGACCCAGCTTGAGCATGTGTGAGGGGAGGGGGTGAGGGCAGGCAGTGCAGGAGGCCCCAGCCTGAGCATGGAGGGGAAAAGGCACGAGGGCGGGCAGTCCCAGACTTTCCCAGCCCTAGCCAAAGCATGGGGAGGAAGGCAGGCTGAGTGCGGCCCCAGCCTTCCTCAGACCCAGACAGCACACGGGAGGGGGAGAGGGAAGAAGAGGGGAGGATGGGTGGTACATGCCCCAGCTTTCCCTGGCTCCGGGGAGAGGGAGCACTGGGGAGAGGGAAGGCAATGCCAAGCCCCAGAGGACACACACTGAAGGGGGAGAAGGGTCGGGCTGGCAGTTTGGAAGGCATGACCTTCTCCTGCCTCTTATACCCCCACCCTTCCCAACACACCAGCTTCTCCTTAATTCAGTTCAGAAAGAAACAGGCAAAGTTGGGTTCTGCTGTTCTACCCCTCACTGGGGTTCTCATTGGTAGGGAGCCAAAGGACAAGAAGCATCCTCAAGTGCACCACTCTTCAGCTAGTTATAGACCGTTTTGGTAAGAAAATCAACCAATTGATGATGGAGGAACAAAACAACAATCCAATACCATTCATTCTTTTCTGGGCAGTTTCTGGTGTTCCAGGCATACTGTGCAAGCCCTTGTTTCTATTTCACTAGTATTGTTGAGTAGGTGGGAGGGGAGGAATGGGTTGTCCCAGATATAAAAGGGGTTAAAGGTATCTTAAACCCCCTTGATTTACTGTTATGAAATTCAACTGTTAAGTATGGTTTGGGGTTTGCATAAAGGTACGACTGGCCTATTCCTACTACAAGCAGACATCTAAAATGCATCTTCACCTTTTACAAAACACATAAAAAGAAGAAACCACCAATTAAAACATGAGAAACTTAAAATAGTTAAGAGAAACTTTATTTTAACTATTCTTTCTTTATTTTGACTTAAGTTTTATGAAGGGGGCATTTCTTGCTTAAGAATTTAGATTGTATTAAGTCTTGTTTTGAGGCTGTGTCAATTTTAGATGACCTGAGTTGAAGTCTGAGCTTTACTTTTTGATATTATCTTAAAAAGTGAATAAGGGCACACAGAAAACAGGGGTTGGGAGAAGACATTACAGGTGCCGGGTCTGGAAAACATTTAGAGGATTGGTAAATTGTTGCTTTCAGTTTGCATTTTGGGTTATAGCAGTGTTCCATACTGGATCCTACTCTGCTTAATATATTTATTGATGATCTGTAAGAAGGATGGGCAGCGAGATAGAACATTTTGCAGATTACACAAAGATATTTAGGTTAGTCAAAAACAGAGTTGGAGAGGAACTGTAGCTGGACCTAACTAGAGCCAGGCATGAGGACGCAATGGGGCAAATTATGATCAACACTGAAACATACAGTAATGCAACTTTGGAGTGAAAACATTTTATCTATTCATATACATCTTACACTCTTCTAAATTAACCCTGTAGATTGCTCAGTGAAGACTTCTGCCCATTTTATAGCATGGGAACATTCAATTAAACTAAAAGATGGGAAATTCAAAACTGATAAAAGGAAACACTTTTCCACAAAATATGTAAATAAACTTTGAAACTCACTGCCACAAGATGATGTCTTTAGCGGACAAAATTCTGCAAGATTCAAAAAGGGATTGAACATGTAAAGGGATAAAAATATCCAGAGGTAATGATATGATATGCATTTTGAAAGGGACAGTCAACCTCATGCTTCATGATTTCAGCCATCCATACACTGGACACCTTTTTGTGTAAACATGTTACATATAAGAACACTCATGCACAAAGTTCTAGGAAAGATCAGACTAGAGTTCAATCGGTGCTATCTTTCTGGGCATGATTATGTTTGGATGCAACAGAGCTTACCTTGTCTTTAAAATCTATGTGGTTCTGTAGTATAGCTCTGTGATATGTGGCCGTCCTCACAAAATCCTGCATCATATTCTGTTGTTGAGATAGACAGCCATAAAACTAAAAGGAAAGGAGGAATGGAAAAATAGAAAAAGATAAAACCCATCTTCTACCAAACTACCTGTCCTCAAAAGTAACAAGAGTCTCACTCACCCTTTGCTGCAGAATCCTGAGCTAACTTTCTACCTAGTCTGGTAAGAAAAACTGGGAAATATCTATAACTTAGTTTCTACAAAACTGGCATTCGATGGCTATGTTACCTGAAAATACTGTGCAGCAGAGGCCTCTTCTGTTCGCTGATTGAAAACAGAGTGTTCCTTCTTGTGATTCCGGCACCTCTTCAGTGCATTTGAAAATGTGCTGTATTCTAGAAAAGAAAAAAAAAGGAACAAAATATGAAAGCTAACTAAACCAGAGAGAGCAAAACAGTACTGTTCAGAAGAAAAATTCAGTGACAGATTTGGAGTGGTGAAGGGCAATGATGCCTCTAATAAAGTTAAATATTTATTAGCTGATACAACTCTTAGCTAGAGTTGATTATGTACATTAAGAAAAATGTTACGTTACTGCAAAACAGCATAGAATGATGGCAGTGCTGGTAATGGAATGCATGTATGAAATCATTAGGTTATATCACATGATATGGAATTATCCACCTTTGTTACACTTTGCAGAATGCTGAGAAGAGCATTTCAGTATCTGAAAAGATCATTGAGGAGCATGTGGGTGGACATGACACTATTGTCCCGTGGAGAATCCAGGCAGGCCTGCTCAAGTGGCCATGAGTTATGGCTGACTCTGGAGTTCCTTGTGTTGGAAAGGACATAGGAGTTAATGCTCAGAGTGCACCAAGAATGAGAACAAAAAGGGGAGGAATGGTTTTGTGTTAGAAAACATTCATCCTAGGATGAATTAATAACAGTTTGCAGGGCAGATGGAAGGGCTGCTGAGGACTATGCATCTTACCAATATTTTAGCTAGCACCCCTGGAGTGGGGCAGTCTGTGGAGCTAACCACTGGACAGGTCATAGGAAAACTCAAACAGGCCCAAAAGCAGACTACAAGATTGCTGAGCAGCTTTTGCACCTGACTGAAAAAAATGAAGCAAAACTTTTCACACAGGGAACAAAAGACAACACGTACTAGAAATTCAATAAAAGTAAAATTTATTTAGAAAAAGAAAAGCTCTGAAGAAAGGTTTCTACATAGAAGTAGCACAAACAGTAATAAAATCAAGCATGAACATCTTCCCTCCTCTGTTCACAGCTGGTTCCTGAAATAAAAATTAAAACGAGCAGTCAGAAAGGTTGAAAATAAACCATGCGATACTAACAACTTACAGAACAAGAGAAAGGGAAAAGGGGCTGCCAGACAGAACTTCAAAACGTACAGGTCTTCAAATAAAAATCATTAGTTTCTGAGGAGTACAAAGTACATACACAAGGAACTAGTCACTTAGTGCTCTAATCAAGTAGGAACAGTTGGAGTAGCAGCCTTCCAAACCCAGAGATCTGAAAAATAAAAATGTAACAGCAGTTAATTATCCAAAAACAATAATTCTCAGAATATAGTAACCAAGGAAAACAATCACCTCCTCCATCATTTCAGCAATTTTTAAGCTCCCCAAACCAGGAGCTTGTTGTACTGCTCCCTCTCTGCTGGGGATAGCTGCTACAAATAAGGCAAAGAAAGACAGAAGAGACAGGGGCTGGCTTTCCTAACCCAGTCCATAAAAACTTCAAGTTGGACATGAGCTCTCCTAAGGGAAACACAAAGATAGAGCTGATGAATCAAATACAAATAAAAGGGTCTACTTTATTGCCTTTCTCAGGCAAACCTTAGTCAATGGGAGTTCTGTCTAAGTAGGAACTTGAAGGACAGACTCTCAGAAAGTAGAATTTTTAAATATTTTGTAAAAATGTATGGTAAACAGCATGCAAAACTCACTAGCAACTTAAAAAACCAACCTATTTTTCTGTTGCTGCTACTCCGGTCTTTCACCTCTTGTCCACGTAGCGTCACTAAATTTGAACAGGTGGAGTTGAATAGAGTCCCCAGTCTCCTTAAAGCCACACAGCCTTCTCAGGGAGAGGGCTTAGAATGGATGAATTAGACACAAACATGCATAGTTCCTCAGACAAGTCTGAGCCAAATCACGTAACAAACCACTGAATTTGTGGGAAAACCCAGGACTGAACTAATGAAAAGGCTTAATATAAGTCTTCCCCGAGGACATATATAGCACATTAAGGGGCATCAAGTTTGAAACAAACTGCTCTGGTGGATCCCACCAACACCATCCCAACAGGGAACTGTGAATATAGCAGTGGAAAAGCACAACAGGCTGGGCTCACTCCAAACCCAACCAAGTACACCTTTGGCTGCAGGAGTGTTGGGAGAAGGGGGCGCACTTGTTGCTGCCAGGGTGTGGTGATGGATCCCTGCTGTCATTCCTGTGAGGCAAGGAACAAGGGAACCCGAACTGCTACCTCTAGAAATGGGGCTCTGTGATGGGATACCAGGGATACCGCTGTGCCTTCTTCTCTTCAGCTTGGGCTGTCTCTCACAATGTTTGCTAGTGTCAAGCAGCAAACCTCTCAGATGCTGTTATCGCTTAGCTCAATTGCATGTGGCACCCCATACCCAGGAAAACTGTGTGAATGCTCTCTAAGTCACTCATGAATCAAAGACACCAGCAAATCTCCCAAGTCTCCACCCTTGCATCTCCTGAACATACAGTCTTGCCCTAGTCAGAAGCCTGACCAGGATAAGTTTAACACACAAAACTAAGTGTTTCTTCACTCAATGCACAATCAGCCTCTGGAACTCCTTGCCAGAAGATGTGGTGAAGGCTAGGAGTTTAACAAGGTTCAAAAAGAGCTAGATAGATTCATGGAGGTTAGGTCCATCAGTGGCTATTAGCCAGGATGAGTAGGAATGGTGTCCCTAGCCTCTGTTTCTCTGGAAATGGATGACAGGAGAGGGATCACATGTGGATTATCTATTGTGTTCCCTCCTTCTGGAATATCTGGTAGTGGCCACTGTCGGCAGATGGGATACTGGGCTAGATGGACCTGTAGTCTGACCCAGGGTGGCCGTTCTCATGTTCTCATTACCCAGTCCAGCTCTCCCTCTATTTGTAGAGAACACACACTAGCATTTGTTAACAGATCTGAGAATTCCCAAGCACTTCAACTAAAACACACTGTTTTAGCTAAAATATAAAACAGATTTATTAACTATAGAAACATAGATTCTAAGTGATTATAAGTGGTAGGCACAAAAGGTCAGAGACAGTTACCAAAGGGAAACAAAAAGTACACAGTCTAAACCTTAAATCTTAATAGACTAGGTAGGATTTGGGATCAAGCAGTTCTCTCACCCCACTGGGGCTGTGTGTAGACTACACCTCTCTGTCGACAGAGAGATGTAGATTAGGCATGTTGAAATTGCTAATGAAGCAGGGATTTAAATAACCTGCACTTCATTAGCATAAATATGGCCACGGCTTTTTTTCGACACGGAGCTTTTTCGAAAAAAAAAAACAACAACAACAAACTCAGGAGTCTAGATGGGTATCTGTCGAAAAATTCTTTGTTCAAAACAGCCAGTATCTTACACCTCTTCCATTCCTTCATAAATATTTGAAAGGTGAGAGCTGGTTCAATGGCTTTGCCTTCTTTCCCCTCCAAGGACCAGCTTCCCTTTCACAAACATGTTGTTTATCCTGAGTTAACACTTCTGCAGAGACCAACAAATCTTAACTATCACTGATCTTTGATCTCAGAGGATGTGCGTAATGGAGAGAAGAGAAACAACTATGTTCATCTGCTCATCATGCTTTCTTCTCTGGGTCTGGATAGATTATTGCAACAGTATTTGTCCGCTTATGATCTTGAGAAGGCAAATTACAAAACTAACAGTTTAAAGAAGAAAGAGTAGCAGTGCTGGAATTAAGTATTTAGACAAAATTCTGGTGTCTTTCAGTACTCGCTTCTGCTACCCATAGTCTTTCAGTCTCCTTTACGTAAGCACTGCGGGGATATAAGTGCCTCTTGGCAGAATGTGAACAGGAGAAAATGAAGACAAAAAAAAGACACTCCTTGTGTGTCTCTCCCATTCCCCCCGTCCACCCTCCTCTCCTCCTCGCAGGTGATTATTAGAACTTGCAGTAAAAGTGGAACTGTACTGCCATTCCATTGTCCAAACATCACACAGGGCACTCAAGATTCAAGAAAAAAATAATACTGGCTGCATTACAACTACTAACTCCCTGAAAACTTACAGTAAGCTTTTACTCCTGTTTTCATTTTCTGTGTGTAGCTCCGTGGCTTACACTGCAGAAACTATTTGAATTACTTTTACATTAAAAAAATATGAATCTCTGGGTAAAAAACAATGAATCCATTCCAGCAACATGAAAAAAAAATCTTAGCTGAATAAATTAAAGCATCAGTTTACAACATTTCCATGAAAAATTAACTGTTTCACCTGTTTGAAATCACCACTGTCTTCTATCCAGCTTCTGACGGAATCAACATAGCACACAAAGTTCTCTCCTATTTTGTCTCCATCTATTCAAAATTTAAATGTTAAGCCCCTTCAACCTTTAAAAGTTTCACATTTCTAAAGAGAGTCTTTTACTTCTGCAGGAAATAATATACCCTGTAAATAGTTCCAAATTGCAGATCATCTTCCAGATAGAAATTAATACTGCAGCTTGGAATTTTGATTTTTTTAAATGTATGTTTGTTCTCTTCCTCATTCAAGACACTGTTCCCAACAAGAAATCAGTTAGGTCTCTTGGCAAAAAGCATTCATTACAAGCTTATCATTTTCAGATATTGTCCGAGACCTCAGGTACTCGTGTTTGTTTATGTGAATCAAAAGGTAAAGGGAACAATTCTACATTCTTACTATTGATTGTGTAAAAACTGAATGAATCATTGAAGAATTTGTAAATAGAAGTGGACACAGAAGATAAATCAATCTGTAATGGAAAAGCTGCATAGTTTGGGTTCTTTTTGGTATGAATAGGGTGGCTATTTCATTTACAGATTGTTTCTGAAGGAAGTAAAAGACTGCTAGCCACTCTCTCTCTTTTATTAAGCAGGTATTTCCCAAACCTCTTCTGGTTCCATTTGCATTCCCACACACTGATGTAGTATTTTCCCATTCCCGTTAATTACCCTATTTAACAAACAAATCTCTTCAAACTTCTTTTGAAACTTGCAACTCCAACCATCACAGATTTTATGAAAATGTTCACTATCATATATTGACTAATGTTCTTTGATTGAAACCTGACTTTCTGACTTCCCAAAAAGCTCTTCCCAGTAGATCTGAAGACATACCCGAAACCCTGTC